GACATGTTTATATTCCCAGCTATATTACTATAAACAAAACTTTATATCTTAAATTTGCTAACTAACGGGGACTGTGCCATGCATGGCTTGTTTTTTATGTGATTGTCAAATAATTTTACATTGGTTGATACACCAGGTTTATGAAGGCACAAGTTTGTTTTATAAAAAAATATTCATAAATGTTTATAAATTTTAAATAGTAAATAAAAACAACTTGACCAATCACAAGCCTCAGTGGATGTATACTGCCTTAATACTAGTATACTCCTCTGCAGTCAGTTAACCTTTAGCCTCGTCTGTGATACTAGCTTACTTTCACAATTTACTGGTTCATGAGCTAAATGATAATGATACTTTTTATATTTGCTTTTTTTTTTATTTATTGCAATGAATGATCACTGTGATTTGAAGTGCCGTAAACAATTTGATGGAATCTATCTTTTAAGTTGGTGGCAGTATATCGACCAATGATTGAAGAAACCCTGCAAAGACTTGTGGCTTTACCAAATAGTTTCTATAGCCAATGAAAGCATTTTCTAATTTCAATGAAGCGCAAAGATCTTTCAGAATAAATGGTTTATAAATATGCATAAATGCATGATAATATGCATAAAAAAGTTCATACCTTCAGTATAGCAAAATCTCTTAATTTATGGAATTTACGTAGGTAATATAAGAATATAATTAAATTAGTTTTATCTACAGTGTTTAATAAAGCATCATTAATAGTATTTTATGAATGATAGAATGCTAATTGTACTGTTGTCTATGGAGGAACAAATGAATGAGCCTCGTGTAGCATGTTTTTTTTCTAGACTAGACTAGGCTTAATGAATTTGCATATTATTATATTGCCTCTAGCATAACAGCCATGATAAAAAAAATATTTTAAAGATCTTTTGTATGTGCTTTGACAGCTTGTGTTGCAATTCAATTAGTCATGCTGATCTTGTTACAAAAAGCTAGGTCAGATCATGAAATATCATAGATGATTGTTGAGTTGCTGCTGAGATGACTTGAGAATGTGAGTGACATCATATATCTTCACAATCTGTATATGCATTCTCCAGGAGGTGCATGTAGATGCTTATACAGGCATGTTTCATTGATTGATTTAAAAAGAGCTTAAACCGTATTTGTCTTGCGTAATTCACTGCAATAAAACATCCTCTTTATACAGCAAAGTTCTTCTTTGCAATTTGACTTAGGAGAATGTCATAAGGAGTTTTATCTCTGACAAGTACCGATATTGTTCACACTTGTGATTGCATTAAATGTCACTGATATCATACTGTAAATGTTAAATCATAGTTGAGTGATAAAGACTGATTATTAGGAAGTTAGGAATAAAAACAATACTGCCACAATCCGCTCAGATTTAGATGTCATCTTATCCCAGTTAGTTACAATAATAAAAATGTTTTGCAATCCAGGCTGGTCTTGAATAAGGGTTATTGAAAGATTGTTGATACTCTAGACTTCATGAACAGAATGTCAGTTGATAACCTTGTCCTATTTTGTCCTTCAGCTGAAAAAGAAATTGCATTTAATATTTTACTTGGTGCTCCAAATTAAAAAAAAATAAACTTAGAAGCCAAATTAGGTTATTATTTTGAAGAGATTAGTCAAGTGTATAGTAATATTGTTTTGTTGGTGCTTTCATCAGCAACTGAACTCTGAAATATTAACTTTCCATCAGCTGTATGCCATTCTTGTCCCAAACAATCTACTGTAAAATTATTAATTATTAACTGGGTTTAAATTTTCCTAATTTCGCTGACTGGAAAATGCGCTAAATTAAAACCCAGTGAATATGTAAAATTGAGCATGGAACACATTATCTAGATGATAAAACTGAATTTCAACCCCACTGAATATGTCTGAAAAGGTAAATCAGCGAAATTTAAACGCAGTGAAAATTAGCCATTTTACAGTACTTTTCTAAATTTTGTTTGCGAGAGAATACTTTTTTTGCCACCTACTTGTCTACATAATTCCCTTACTTAGTTAGTATTTTTAGACACTGTATTTGGACATAAATCTAGTTTTAATAATGAAACTGTTAGCGTACATGTCTTTCTATTTGTAATGCGTTTCTTATAGAGCAAATACAGTAACTCTGTTCATGTTTCTTCACTGTAACTTACATGTAAGGTACAGCTGGCTATCAGCAGCCTAATCTTTCCATAAATACCTGAAAATTAAAACTAATTTAAGGTAGAAGCCTACTCATATTTGTTGAGAAATTGTGTCATAAATCACATGACAAGGTTTATTATGTAAAATCATGAAACTATTGTCCCATTGCACCATAAAATAGCATTCTATTGTGTGTTACAGTGATGTATTTTGAGAAACTTGTACTACAATTCCATAGAGCGCAATGTTAAACAAAAATTGCATTTTTCAACACTTTTTAAAACCCAGATTTTTGAAAAAATTCAGGAAAACAAAAAGTAGGCCATCATTAACAATATATAATTGTTTCAGCCTATGTCACCAGCCTACAATTTGAGATATGGCATAATATCTCTGCCATAGGAACCTATGGTAAAAGCACTATAATACTGCCAAAATGGCCGCTATCCACGAAAATACAATCATGATTTTCTCGAAAATTAA